TAACAACTCTTCGAGGGATCCGTAGGTGGCCTGTTGCAAGGCAAAATTTCTGTCCCTATCCAATATACCCTAATTTTTCAGTGGCAGTCTAAATTTTTACGTCCTTCTTCCAGGACGGCCTCTATTACAGGACCTACTTATTGTATTTATTGTTAATTTGTTACCCGCCTGAACATGCATGAAATATTTGACACTGGACGTTAAGCAACAAACAATCAATCAATCAATCAATCACTTCACAAATCTGAAATAAAAGAAGTGAAAAAAGCCGAGAACCAAAGCAAATCCACCATTAAAGTCAAATGCACAGGTGAAGATGATTACTACATTAACCAATATAAAAGCACAACTAACACAGGGACGGCTGATAGAAAATTTGTGAAAGTACATGTATCCCTCTGTAGCGACTATCTTACCTTTTAAATTGCCACACATAATAAATGTTATACCGTCTTCATTCACTATACCAATCAAAGAGATAACTTTAATCTGAATTTATTTTACAAGAAGGCCATTTAGATAAATATTTCATTCTTTATTAAGAAAATAACTGTATCAAAGTTTATATTATGTGTACTTTGGTGTTTCAACAACATGCTGTTTTGACCAACGCTAACATTAAGATGTCTACATATACACTGCCTTTTTTTATAGATTTTGGCAAATATTAAATTGTCGTTAAACAAAATTACAAAACTATTTCAAATTATTTTATGGTTTCAAAATTGCCTTAAAAGTATTTCTCTGAATATCTTTCTTTTTACATACATATATAAATATATGCAAAGTTGTTGGAAAAAATTTAACATAATATTAGGACTCTTTATTATTGAAATTCAAGTAGGTTGCTAAAGCAGTTTGGTGTTACTAATTGGGCTAAACAAATACAGTATCATGATATGACATTAACGGAAGGATTACTTGTATGAAGCATCCGTGGAGCTCATCTGTCAATTAGAAGGTGGGTACCACTACTGATGAATTATCCGTCCATGTGGGTAAATTTAATGGATTAGTTGACCGATATGATGTGTCTGTTTCTCATCTCACTAGCGACATATATTGGATGTCGTAGATCTTTAGATACCAGAATAGTTGTCTGATCTGTAATTTTACCGATTGTGTTCCATTTCCTCATGTGACGTTTTAACTAAGTCTGGATCGCATGGCGGGTGATGCATGCATAGCAAGAGTCGCTTAAGTTCGAAAGTTCCAACTATTCTTTGTATTCGTACACTAAAAAATGAGACTACACGATTTTTTGTTTTATTATTAGCAGTATGATTAAGCAACAGTTGTATCTCCTGTTTTCTGAAACGGAAGAAAGGTTTTACCTCTTTGTAATATTGTTTACGAAGAGGAAGCTATTCATGTTTATTCTCCTAATTTCTGGTTTTGAAAACTGTACGTCCATGTCGATAATCTGGAATTTCCGATCGGCATCATCAATTCATGTGTGTGAAACCCTCTTTTCATCCTTGTATAGTTATAATTTATGCTTGTTCCAGAGTGGTGGTCATCTTGATATCCACAAATTATCAAATAGACCGTCATGCCATCAGCCATCCATAAAATAACTTCAACAGTGAGGCGATTAAGTGCAGAAACCTTTCACTGATATTCCAATGATGGGCCATACAGTTTCCATATTGACGGTTGTCCCTGATTTTATATCGACAACAAATGCCTTAGTTTGGTAACATACCATTAGAGGACAATATTTAAATAATTTTAGTTGTTCTTTACAGAACAAAACCATCTGAAATTCAGCAAATCAGAAGTACGCCATTCTTATCGATGTTTGTTTATAATACTGAAAATAAATACTGTTGTTCGAAGGAACACTTATAAAACATTTCTGTCCAAATAGCACTGTTTGGTCTCCACAAGACAAAGACAACAACAGCCCGCAAAATGATACAAATAGCTCGAGTGCCGATTTAATTTAACATTCTGTTGAAATGCTTTAGTAATGATCAACTACCCTTTACACAAGTATTCCCTATTCCAAACTAAAGGATAAATTAAAAGAACTAATTAAACTTTGTTTCATAAAAAAAGAATGGCAAACGTAAATACAAGTATCTTGTCTTAGGGAGGGATAAATCGTACTTTGTAAAAAAAAATCACTCACATTCAAACAAAAAATTCTCTGAAACTGAGATTATTAAGATGCTTGATTTCTTGATTGACAACATATTTGTTACGTTTCGAGGACTTGTCTTTCAACAAACAATCGGCATGCCCATCGGAGCCAACTGAGCTCCTCTTCTTGTTTACTTGTTCCTTTATTCACATGAGGCTGAATTCATACAGGAACTTCTTAGGAAAAATGAAAAGAAACTAGCATTATCCTTTAACTTCACATTCCGCTATATAAAAGATGTCCTCTCGCAAAATAATTTCAAGTTTGGTGACTATGTTGAAAGCATCTATCACATCAACTAAAAATAAAGGATGTAACAGATAAAGTTAAGTCTGTCTCATATATTGACTTACATCTAGAAGTTGACAATGAGGGTCGGTTGACAAAAGAGATGATTTCAGCTTTCCATTTCTATGTTAGTAACATTCCAGCAGCACCTGCATATGGAGTATATCTCCCAGTCGATGCGATATTCCAGACCTTGCATTTTCTACCCCGATTTCCTTGATAGAGGGTTGATGCTTACAAGGAAGCTATTGAACCAAGAGTTCCAAGTGGTGAAATTGAAATCATCCCTTCGAATATTTTACGGACGTCATTACGAGTTGGTTGAGCGTTATGGATTATATGTTTCACAGATGACGATAGATATTTCCAATTGTCGTAACCACAATCCCGTCCTCTTTGTGACGTACCGAATTAGACTTATCACAATGTACTTACATGAGCAACACGACGGGTGCCACATGTGCAGCAGGATCTGCGTACCCTTCCGGAGCACCTACGATCAACCCCGGTTTTTGGTGGGGTTCGTATTGCTCCATCTTTAGTTTTCTACGTTGTGTTGTGTGTACTGTTTGTCTTTTTGTCGTTTTTCGTTTTTTCCGATGGCATTGTCATTTTGTTTTCGACTTATGAGTTCGAATATTCTCTTAGTATCTATTGCCTCTGTTCTAAGATATAGTTATACGAAGGACATTTTACATCGTCGATTGATTTGATTTTTTCATCTTGGCACATAATTCCAAACTGGTTTTTTTTCCATTTGGTTCGAAGTTACAGTAATAAACAATTAATTAAAATCTGCAAATGAACATGGTGCATAAAGTCACTGTAACTTAAGAATATATGGTTGCATACGATCTTAAGATCTAAATTTACGTCTGCGATTTCGCAATTCTGATACATGCTGGTAAATGTTACTTTGGCAGAATTTAATATCACAATTTTACAAATCTGTTTTTTTTTTCTCGTTTATCAGTCGCCATCTTGAAAAAAGTGAATTCGTTTTTCTTGTCTTCTTTTTTTTATTTTAACAAATAAATAATTGTAAAAATAAATCCAGAAAAGCTCTTCCGACGAACGATATTTCGTGGTAAATGCACAAATAAGAATAAAGAAGCCTACCAGCAATGTACTGCTGTTACTATAAATGTTATCCGCAATGTGGCTTCTTTCACGCTGCGAGTGTTGAAGGTCTTCTGCCTAATCACTGGGTCAAAGCAAATACATAACAAGAATGTGTCCATAGTACACAGATGCCCCACTCGCACTATCATTTTCTATGTTCAGTTTACCGTGAAATTGGGTTCAATACTCTAATTTTGGCATTAAAATTAGATAGATCATATCATAGGGAACATGTGTACTAAGTTTCAAGTTGATTGGACTTCAACTTCATCAAAAACTACCTTGACCAAAAACTTTAACCTGAAGCGGGACAGACAGACGGACGAACGAACGAACGGACGCACAGACCGAAAAACATAATGCTCCTCTACTATCGTAGGTGGGGCATAAAAAACTGACTCTTTTTAACTAAACATGTTGCCTAGGTGTAAGAGCAAAGACTTGAAGTTCAGTGTCAAAAACTGATTCCGGATAAGGTGATATATTTGAGCGTTCCTGGTGAAGGTATTTCTAGGGGTCTGCATCGGCTAGACGAAATTAATTAAGTGTTATTGTCAAGTCTTCATGTGGACTGTCAACTCGTGAGCTAACCGGTTCAGTGTGTTGGTCAAGTACACGCAGGGTGTATTATTTTCTCATTAATATGTTATCACACAGAATGTACTTATCATAAATGGCGACGGACGTTAATCAGGCATCCTTTTATTTATATATTTTTATCTAAAAGTAAGTCGTTATCGATAACTTTATTTTGGAGTTTACAAAACTCTTAATTTTATAATTAATTGGTGATATTTCATATCGGTTTAGAATTAGCTTCACTTATTGGATAACAAGGGGCCACATGACATTCTTTATTCTTTAGTAAAAAATTCCATTGGTCTTTAACAGAAATACACGGACTAGAAAACCGGTCGTTAACGGACTTTTACATGTTAATGACCAGTGGGGCGTGGTTTCTTTGTTTGGAGTGATGTCCCTTTAATAAAACGCAATCACGATTCGTTAATTATGAAATTATAGAAAACTTTATTTTGTATTCATATACTAGTACTGAAAAATTGCACTTAAATGAATGGCAGTGACTTATTGTTATCACTATGAATGGTCTTCACTCTTTCCTATAGAAATCGTTAAATAACTCGAGTTTGCTTTGAACAATTTGAATTGATGAGAATTTTTAAAAACATGGTTCCTCAATGAAATAAACATAATAGTTATTGAAGAACTGGTCGTTATCGTGATACATGGACTGCCCACAGGACAGTGGTATTGACTAAGAAAGCGATAATGACTGAGCCGTAGTGGATTGTCCGGCTATACTTTAAATTATGCTACTATGTGTTAGCCTGCATTTCATTTAGGTTCTCTGACAGTTCAACATATGGGCCTTACGTACGTTTTACTGGTAAATTAAGAATGATTTAAAAAAAAACACCATGTATCTATCTTCATATCAAATTTATTTTCAACGAATTCAATAAAAATGGTTGTTGAGAAATTATAAACAAATACTACATTATCATCATTTACAAACATATATTACAGTCATATGAACTCTTGTAGACGTTTTAATTTATAATCACAAAAATACACATCATATTATTCTAGAACTGTTTATTTTATATATAAGTAAACTTACAGATGTACACCTAAGCACCAATCTAAATGCATAGCCCTAAGAATGTATTGCACGTGATTTCTTTGTTCTTGGCTAATGTTTGTAGCTAGTCTCAATATTTATAATCAGATACATTTACAGTTTATTCGAATCACAGTAACATTTATTTTAATTAAAAACGTAAAAAATACTTAAATTTGGATCCCTCAATATTATATACAAATAGTAGAAAGACACACATTCTCAACTCAGCAACATATCCCATTTCATGAATTATAAAGGACTAGAAATTCACAGTCAAATCTACAAAACACACACACGCACACATATGTACACATGTTTACGGTCAACACTACATCTACCACACACTCACACACGTCCGACTCGAATTCGTTTATTTAGCAATCCATTCATTCTTTATGAGAATCACACCTCAGAGTCAACACATCTAACAAAACTACTCTTTACATATATTTAGCACTTTGTGTAGCTTTCACGGACTAGAAAAACTCGTCAAATAAATCTGGATCCACAAAATTCGGACGAGGAATTCTGTAAGGTCCTCCTACATGTAAATGCCTTAAACTGAAAAATAACAAAAACTTAATAAATATTAAGCAGATAACTTCATTTCAAATCCGACTTGATAATTTTATGATATGGAACGGTTTTGTTTGTGTACCCACGCAGATACCTCTCATAAAACCTATAATGTTATTTTGTATTATTATCATTGAGTATTTGTCACTTCTTGTAGATTGCAAGGACACACACATATCCTTCCCCTCGACCTTTTTAGGGATTTAAAAGCCCAAACGTCAGTTCTTCTGTACTGACATGACATTGCTTTGATACTAATATTTGAGTAATTTATAAAAGGAGTTAAAATCTATTATCCTCTCGATGCAAGGGACATCCAGAGTTGGTTTTTGGGACATTATGGTCTTATTTTAGGCTTATTGCTCTTCGTATTTATGTATACTTTCGGAATCCAATATTAAAATTCGAGAATCCCTGATAAAAACTAAATCTGACATGTCAATATAATGCATCTGATAATCGACACCCTGCAACTTTGTATCATACAGTGCAATAACGTAGTGTGCTTTCGTCAAGTAGAGTTTCGTTTTATAATTATTTTCTTAGTCTTTGTATTGTGTGTAGTTAGGGTAGGCTCATATCTTGTTCACTAGTTTTTAATCTACATATTGTCGAAAAATCTCCGTTTTATATATGCCTCACGATATTTGAAATAAAATTTCGGATAAAATAATTTTAGGAAAATAGATAAATACATATTCGTCAATGTTCTTGTACTTTTCAATTCTACAAAAACGGCAAGTTTTCTGATGCGTTGAATTTTAACTTCAGTTTGTAATAATAATGAATGAATAAAATATCATTTTACTAAAATACATAAATATAACTTTTCTTTTTTTTTTTATAATAGCTAATTTGCTTATTGCTCTATTGGCAGTTGAAACGAATATAATAGGAATATAGTTAGTTTACTTTAAACAGATTATAATAAACATTATATTCAAGTTAATTTTTGTATATCATTCTTTTGTATAGCCTTATTTGTCATTGACTGTTAACTATTGTATAAGTAACTTACCTATCAAGAAAAGCCTGGTTTTCAAAAACAGACGTATCTGAATGAGGAATGTCAAGGTCTGGAAGTGGTAAAATATCTGTCAATGTTGACCTGGAATTACATTAAAAAAATCCTTGAATGTTTTTCGCAAATGGAGGGTTAAAAGTGTAAACTTTATAAACGTCATTATGAAAAAGTAAATTATTTTGGAATGTTACAATATTTAAGAAAAATCGGGTTACTGTCAAATCTTTACGAGATGTCGAAAAGAGAAGAAAAAAAAATATTCAAATGCGAGTTCAAAAACCATGTGGTAAATGATATATTCCATTGAAATAAACTGTGACATATTATATATATTGAAACTCATAATTGATTTGGCTTTCTGAAATGTTTTGATTCGAGTGCTGCTGATGAGTTCAATGTGAACGAAGCGTATGTCTAGCTAACTAAATTATAACCCTGGTATCTTTAATGACTAATAACAACATCTTGGCCGATTCGACCGTTTGTGGACATTTTCTCCCCGATAATACCACCAACCTATTAGTCAATACTATATAGCTGAAATGCAATTTCATTGATTCAGAAATTTTCTGTATATTTATTCCTTATTAAATGATAAAATCATTCGAAACAATTCAGATTTTTCTACCCCCCCCCCCCCCCCCCCCCCCCCCCCCCCAATCCGAGACAAAGATGACCATAACCAGAAATTGCTAATTTTTGGAATGTATGGTGTTGAATACTCTTCATCAACTTCGAATTTAATTGGCCTCCAAACTGTTTTGTTTCGACCGGCACTGATGAGTCTAATACAAACGAAACGCACGTTTGTCGAATTTAGTTCTATGCATGTTATCTTTGATGACTTATTGTAACTGTGCCCAGTTGAGGTTTCATATCTCAGAAGACAATAAAAGGACTGACTATACAAAGGCATATACTAGTAATATTTTTCATATTTACATTTCTGCATCTGGCTTTGGCACCTGTCGTCGTCGATAACATAAACAAAAAACAACAACACATATAAGAACAATTCCTGCTCCACCTGCAGATCCAGCCGCAACAGGCAAAATTTCCTGCTCTTTCCCTGTATCTATAAAATCAAGTAAGAGAGAACTTAAAGGTAACTCCTATTTTATAAGTAACTGTATAAACTAAATTCTTTGAGAACCTACCAATAACTTTTGTTAACATTAGTTTACCTTTTTTATTACTATTTCCTTATTATTCATATTTTAAGTATTTCTGCTACTGTTTTATATTGTGTGCCTATTTATGAACAATTAAGCGAGTGTCTTTTTTTAAAGAAAGAAAAAGCTTGAATTTGTAATTAATACATGTATTTTTAGGAGCATTGACTATCATATAAATGTATCTTTTACTATTTACGTTACGGACGGACGAAATTTATAAAGTGTTATATGCATTTTAGTAGCATGGGTTTGATACTACTGCTGGTGAACTATTAGTCACCGAGGGTATCATCAGCTCAGTAGTCCGTGCTTATGTACTTATATGATTTATAAGAAATTATACTAAAATTCCCAGTTTATAAATTAAGGAATTACTAAGAAACAAAGTTTCTAAGGCAAAGTTGACCGTTGTCGAAATTGGCTATTGCTTTAGATCCTCTTTTGTGATTGAGCGCCTTACGTTTCTACTTATTTATATATCCCTGGCTCTCAAAAGTTAGAATGTAAGCGTTCCTGATGAAGGTAAATCCAGAGAAGCGCTTCGGACTAACGAAATTTAATAAATTGTAATTTTCTTTAATATACATGTACTATTTAAATTGTAAGATATTTTATATAGTTATACCGTAAATATATTCTTTTCACAGTCATTTATGTCGTTGTATAAATGAAAGTCGAAGTCATATCTTTTGAGATCTTTTCTTTTTTTATGCAAAATAATTAACGCAATGTGTCTGGAGTCCTAAAGTTACCACTTTGTTCTGGTTTTCAAGCTAACATTTATACGCAGTATCCCATATTGACTAGACTACCTTTTTGAGTATACATAATATTTCAACGTAAATCCAGAAAGACAGTTAGGCTTCACCAAATTAATAAAGCTTTATTTTCACCTACCGATTTTTTCAGGACAGAAAGCTACCGCATTAGACCAAGTTCCATCTTCCAGGCAAATCCTCCGATGACACTCGTAACCATACGAACAAAGCATTTGAAATGATGGCAGACACCAAAATGTAGCATTATCCCCAACAGAATGTCCGCTAACTAATTTGTTGCCATTCTCCGGTGTTGCTAGGTATGGACATCGGATAACTGCAACACAATATTTTAATTATTTGTTTTGCTTTGGTAAAGGATTTCTACAACCGAATAGGCCACCCATTTTTACGATGTATTCAACAGAATGAGCTGTGGGCCCTATAGTTAAAAAATTTCAGAACAGTTTACTTACAATGACCTACTAATTCATTTTATTTTGTTTTAATCATAAACAATGAACCCAGTTATTATACTGACTTTTAACATATTGTTATGACTATTGCTACAGAAAATGGAAAAAAATGTCAAACAAATGGATAACGGAACGTAACTCTAAATTTAATAATACATTATAGGGTTCTGTTAAATTCGGTGGTTGAACTTGCACAGAAAAATTTGAACTGAATAACGTGATAAATAATATTGCATACCGTTATCTAATTATGCTTTATCTGAAAGGAGTTTTAAGAATCAACAAGGTCAAAAGTAAAAAGCAGAGTGGTATAAAAAAAAACTTTGTTATCAGACTTCTTACCAAAGAAATTACATTAAATTATCAAATTTACCTACATAAAATAAGAATCATTGCCATTTTTAATATGTTTCATCAGCGATTATATTTTAATGTTTATGTTGCACTTTTAGCTGGATAAAATTATCAAACTTAAATGTTAATTAATATGCCTTATTTCTGTAACAACATCAAGAATTTGGCGAGATAAAAGACACAGCTTAAAAGAAAATTGATGTAAACGTTACCATAGAAATGAAATCAAAAGACTGCACACACGTTGAGTATCATATAATAGCACCTCAAAAATGTATGCCATTTCTTAAATTGCAATTCAAATGTAACATTACCCATATCTCCTGCGTCTGAACAAGTAAATTAGTTAATTCATTTGAACTTTTTCATCTTTACACACACAGTTTTATGGTAAGTTGAAAAAGGTCACTTTTTGGTTCCTCGTGTTCAAAAAATCAATTCAATTAATAGATTATTTATTGAAAAGTGTTTCAAGTTGTCTTTTTAACAACAGCCGTGGATTTTGTTCAAACATATATGAATGTAATACACTCATGAACATTGATCCGAGATATTCAAGAGCAAGTTCTGAAGACACATTTGCAGATGGATAAAACGGGTCAAATAACTTTTATGATTTATTTTGTTATTTATTATATAACTTTCAAATAAACGTCACCAGCGTCTGAGCAGAAAGTTGATGAACCAGGGGTATGTCAAAAAACGTCTCGTCCTTTTTCTAAAAAAGTTCATCGGAAGATACCAAGAACTTGTTGATAAATATTCCGCATCAACTTCACAAATAATACACGATGGTATTGAAGTATAGATTTTGCGTACTGACGTTGATTATCACCTTTATAACGTGTTATAGTATTCTTTTATTTATCTTTATTAATATTACTTTTACTGTTAAGTCTGTTTTTTTTTAGATATCCATTTGACGTGACTCTGTGCTTATGTATCCCGTCATACTTTGAACGACAAAATTATTTTATTTATTATTATTACTTTTACTGTTGAGTCTGTTTTTTTGTGATATACATTTGACGTGACTCTGTACTTATTTATATCGTCATTCTTTGTACCACACAATTATTTTATTTTATTTATTAAAATTACTTTTACTGTTAAGTCTGTTTTTTGTTATATCCATTTTACGTGACTCTGTATTTATGTATCCCCTCATACTTTGAGCGACAAAATTATTTTATGTCTACCTGTGCGAATTTCAAACGCGCGATTTTACGCCAGTACTTAAAACCTTCCGTCCTTTATGGGTGGATTTTACATAGATAAATAAAATCGTATAATATAAGCAAAACGAGGATTTTAAATTTGATGTATGCCTTTTTGTGCTTCTTCGTTACATTTGTTTGTTTTATAGTGATTGAGATGATAACACAATGTTGACTGCTGTACCCCTATTTTTGACATTTTTACCTATTGTGTCTGTTTGTTTTGTTCACGCATCGTTGTCAATATAATGGAATTTGATGCGACTGTCATACAAGTGAGAGGTTTAGCTAGCTATAAAACCAGGTTCAATCCACCATTTTCTACATAAGAAAATGCCTGTACCAAGTCAAGAATATGACAGTTGTTATCCACTCGTTTGATGTGTTTGTTTTTTTGATTTTGCCATTTGATTGGGGACTTTTCTTTTTGAATTTTCCTCAGAGTTCAGTATTTTTGTGATTTTACTTTTTATCCTCAACAGTGCTGAAATTGTTCAAATTTTAATTTGTCCTGAGATTGTAATATTCACTGTTAAGTCATTCTTTAAAATCGGTTTCCTATTATTAGCGTGTAATAAATATGGAGTATCTTACCTTTCTCAACATCCTGCTGAATCTGTTTAAATTTCTCATCAAAAACAAGTGTACTTGCTGCTAGTTTTGAGTTGTTAGTAACTTGAAGGTCAAATTTACACTGTTGATTGTCTTTACAAATTGTTTCTGTGTCTGGTCTAAGATCAGATTTATTTACAGTGAAAACAGGTTCATATGCTACTGGAACTTGAGATGTCTCACTGAACAAATTTTCCGTTTCATTGACGCTCCCTAGAAAAAGAAGTCAGCTCTCATTAACTTATACAAGCTAACAAGTGCACAGATCTCTTATCCACCAAAATTATAACTTTGTGCAATACATTTGATCATGCAAGATAATTAGAAAGCAGTCAAAAGTAGGTTTTAAAACATTTACAAAAAAGACAGAGCTCAAATGGAGCTCTGTACTGTAACATATTTTTATTAGATCTATACATGTATAACACATATTTTACAACACGAATTTGTTTACAATTTCAGATTTTCATTGTAAGAAATTCTAAGAAGGACATATCTACTATCTGCGTTTATATTCGATTAGCTCATGTTCAGGGCTTTGACACTAGCTATTGAATTTAACTTAGATCCATACAACGGTTCGTGCAAACATATCAGGATATGTTCGTTCTGTCGACGTACTTGGTCTTACTGCGTTTGTAGTTTCCTCAATAGAGAACTCATATATGACGTTGCCTTTTGGAACGTGACTGATGCAGTTATTATTGTTACAGATATCATTTACGATAAGCCTGAGATTGCTAAGATTTTTATCTGTGTGAACCTTAAATTTCAATCTGGTTTTTATCTTTTGTATTTTGTTAACACTGTTATTGAACTAATTAAACAAAACAAATCCTGTGAACTTTTGTGTTATATAATGTATTTTATGGTAATTAATAATATGCTTACAAGTCATTCCAAACTGATGATGAATTACATCCATTGGAGAGGATGATGATATAAAAGATTCATTTCTTGCGATGAAATCGTCGGATGAATTACCATTAAAATTACCCAATAAACCTCTAAGCGCACCTAAAATCAAAGTTTTGAAACAATTATAGAAATTGCAAGATGTTTCCATCCAACTAAGAAATACAAAACTATAAATAAACTGTATATAAGTTCATATTATTAAATTTAGATAATTGCATGTTAATTGTTATAATCCTATTTTGAAAAATTAAGGAAGTAATGTAAATAAAAGTGTAAAAAAAAATATTTTCTGTCGAAACATAATTGTACAAATTACCTTTTAATGATTCTTCTCCCATCATGACTAGTATGTTAATGAGATCAGTAGACACTTCCAATGATATAGACAGATTGATTACCTCGGACACAATCAATATTGTATCTACATCTTCATTTGATTTATTTCTTGATATGGTCACATCTGAAACAATATCAAATCATTCTTGAATTTAAAAATTCTTTAAATGCACATTTTGAAAATTGTGTTATTTTACAACATGTACTTAGGTTGCTCCTCTCTTTGGGGAGATTTGTGGAATATAAATGAAGAAATGAGGTATCATTGCCAATGAGACAAATCTCCACCAGTGTCCGAAAATGTAAACAACTATAGGTCAATTATTGTTATTTATCTGTTAGGCTCTGAATGTGTTAATGGTATTTTTCGCTTTCTAAACATAAGGCATTTGCCTACCTGTTGTGGTTACTCTTGAACTACATATGTTGCCCAATAAAGCGGATTAATGCATGAACCTTTACTGTATTACTAAACATGCTAAACTATAGTTGTAGTTCGATGATAAACACCTTCATATGAAAATGTGTTCCTACATGGTTTTGATTTATGGAAACCAAATAAAAACGAATTGCAAATACGTACAACGTTTTGTGAAAGAGAACAAAAATACAATGAATGTAAAGACTGAACTGAAACTTGCTTTTGCTGAAGCAAAGTTTGTTTACTTTTCTTAATATTTGTCATCAAATACATTAATCCTTCAGACTTTCTTTTAATATAAATTGAATTCATATAAAGAAAATGTGCATGTCTCAATAGATAAGGAAAATGATTATATCAATAACACAGTTCCCATGACAGGTATTTTCCATAAATAACTTTCAATAATAACGTCTGATGATATTTGAAATGTTTTGATGACAAAATATGTAAAACATATAAGAGCAGCTGAAGCAAAATGGCAAACAGAACAGTAATCAAATTCTTTGTATATGAAAAAAAACAAATTTGATCCACCTGAAATCCTAAGCGCATTTCCGATCAGGAACAGTGAAACCAATAAAAATGAGAGCCAAGGAAGTATAAATACTTAAATATGTGCGAAGGTATGAGACTAAAATGTACCTCAAAGATATATATGTAACGATGCTTTCATCTTGCATTGTAAAATTAAATACAAATTACACTGTATCGCTCAACAAAACGTTAAAAGTCAATATTTTGAATTGAGTTATCCCTCCTTGTTCATTGTTGTACATAGAACAGATGTAATATTTAATAAAATGTTTTTTTTATAATAATGTTGCACAAACACTTTATTTTGTAAATTAAAAGTCGAGTATATATCATTAATGATTTGCTTGACATTGGTGATATCTATGAAATGTTCACTTCACAGCACTCTGTTGTGTGTACTCAAATACAGGTAGAGAAGATGATTTACACGTTTTAAGATAACTATCAAATGACTACAGATGAAAGGTTTAAGATATAAATCAATAATTTTGAAAATACTAACCTTTTAATTCTGAGGTAGATACACTGTCCATTTTGTGCGTTTTACCATTTACAAGAATTCTGGCTTCTCCTGTTTCTGTTTGATAAACTTCAACTATATCAGACAAATTACGGACCGTAAAAGCTACTGCAGAGAACACTGTGGCATTTTGTGGTGTACCTGTTTCAAATATTTGTTTGATACAAGTTAAAGAGCTTTTGTTAACACATATAAACAAAGTATACATGTTTAAAATATTTTGTCATATGTGAAAGGATTTTGTGAACACATTTATATAAAAAAAAAATTTGAAATCGAAAATCTATATCAATACCTGCTATGTGACCCATTTATTTAAGTATTTTAGGGAGAAATGTTTATGTATTTAGAAAGCATCTAAAATAAAATGTAGAAATAATATATGACATTCAAACGAATTTGAAACCAGCCTTTAAAAAATAACCCTCTGAATTTTGTAAAGTCGTCATCAGCATACGGGCTGACATGACTTCTTGCAGTAGAGATCATCTAAAACCAATTTTACATTGGTTAATTTTCATTTTTTTTCAAACTCATTTTTTCAACTTCAATACAAATTTAAATGGCATAGATGGACTTAATCAGACTTGGCAAAACGTTTGAGGAATTTTTAGACTTTCAATGTTCAACTTCGTAACTGATTAGACCTTTACGCTGTTTCGATTCGAGCACGATATCTTATTTAGACAAATCACGCTTTTGATGTATTAGAGGTCTCGCTCCGTTGAGAGCTCATATAAATCCCTTGTGGTTTATCTTTCATCTTGGTTTGTTTATCATAAATATATTTTCGATACTTTAGCACTACTGTTGCCTCTAAGTTATTTTTAGTAGTATCTTTTCGATACTTTAGCACTACTGTTTGCCTCTAAGGTATTTTAGTCGTATTTTTTCGATACTTTAGCACTACTGTTGCCTCTAATTTATTTTTTAGTCGAATCTTTGATGAAGTTTCTGTTCTTACCATTCGGATCTTTTGCTTGAACAGCTCGCACTTGTATAACAACACTGCCATTTGTGTCTTCAACTAATATAAAATCGTCAATACCATTAAACGTATAATCTAATCCATCAAGCGTTGTTAAATGTGGATCACCAGCTGCTTTAGCTGTAACAGTTAGAAGAACCAATTATGATATATAATGAGTTGTAAAATAAAGAAGAAGTGCAAACATCATTATCAGGTGAATGGTAATCGTGAAATTTAATGTGTATATGATTAAGATCATTCTTACATAATATCATATCACATTTCTTCACCTTTAAGCCAGTTTCCTGTTTATTTATTATTTTGTTTATATTTGTATTTTTCTGTGTCGGTGATTGGGGAGAAATAATCACGTGATACTATAAGGCAAAGCATCAGAACCACTATAAAACGTTCGATTCATCTTATGGTGTGTAAATGTCTACACTGGTTCGAAACCTCGTTTGCAGTTACGTCTACGATTTCACAATCTAATTTACATACAGATCCTGTGTCCACGCTTCGCTTACAATGATCTGGCAATGCACCGTTTATTCCCTGACCTGATTTTTTTTTCGTCAAGTTTTCGTCTAATTGACGTATATGTACGTCTCCTTTTATGCATGAGTATTCATTATTATGCAATTGGGTCCACTGGGTTACTTCTGTTTTCCTTTTTATGTTTTACTGGCTTTGAACGCCTCAAATTAGGAACCTATGCATTGTTTGAATCACAATTATTAGTGCAAAATTCTACTTTCAAGTTTAAAGCAATAGGCAATTTTGTATGATCAAATTCTGATTTTTTTCTCATTTTTATGCAATTAAATCTTATATTCATTTGGCTTTCAGACCTTTTGGTCTCCAGCTCACCTAAAGAAGGTACGGTGTTGGGCGCTCTGAAATCAGTATCATTGTGATCATATGTATATATCACTTCCACTGGGTCGAAAAAGTGGTCTGCACTTCATCTTATCGGCTGTCAGTACCAAGGGTACCAACCTTCCAGTCCTTTAAATCAATCGAGGGAGGGGGTTGATGGTGCTGATCATCTCACTTAACATGGTTTTTATTGCTTTCTTGGTGTCGTTTAACACCATCTAAAACTTTGCCGTAAATTTCATTTTTTATGTTCACAAAATGACGAGACTGATACATATCTGAAGTTACTTACCAGGTGCAGGTGGATTGTATGATTCACACGTCGTTGGAGGTCGTGACCTCTGAAAGTTTTGGCACATTTGTGAATTTTTAGAATACTGGCAACAATGTAAGTAAGGCAACATGTCCTCGGTAAAAAATGAAAAATAAGGCACAATAGTATCTCCCTGAGATTGATAGTGGTATCGATTGTGTGTGCCACCACTCGGATTATCCCGAATGTCTAATAGTTCACCTTCCTTATCATAGCAACACAGTTCTCCTGTAGATGTATGACTGAAAAACAATAAACTAGAAATAAAATACTAGTACTTGTTAGATGTATTGATTGCCCAATCGGCCAATTGATCACGAAAGTAAGACCAGTTGACTAATCGACCAGTATATCTCTAAGGTTAAAAATGCATGCTTCATTTAATATATCAACACTTGGTTGGTTCGTTTCTATCACTACCCTCACGAATATAATGGATCTGATAACGATTGTTAACATCATTTTATAAACCTTTTAATTGCATCCATATCAGGAGATATACTCATGGTAAACAGTAAAGAAAATTACGTAGTCGCAATGCATCATAAAATGTCTGAATTATTTTACATTCTGGGTATAAGAAGTTCATTTGTGCAGATGTGGGGTCTTAAGTTTTCACAATCACAACACATAGAAATGAAAAGAACTTTCGATAAGACTTTTAATTGATACAGTATGTTTTAAAACATTATCTACATTGACGGGGAAAGTACCCTAGCACATTAAATTGCTATTTGTCCTTGACAATAGTTCTTCAAAATCCATACAAAGGGCAAGAACAATCAGATGTGATGTAACACACATAAATGAAAATTATCCTGTAATCAGCATTTTCTATCAAATACTAGTGTACAGATACTTCTATGCGATATTCGTTTAGTCTACCAGTATCTTCATGTTAAGAACGAAATAAAATAATCCAATTACTGTTCATGTCACAGTTCATGTTGGTCTCCTATTCGCGGTGCGGATCTATCCATGTCTATATCTTTAAAAACACTATGCCGTAAAAACTCATCATAGATCCAAGGCGTATAATTTTGTAAGCCAGGCACGCGTTTCGACTACAAAAGACTCGTTGAAAAAACGGAAATCGGTATCGGATGCTTTTTTTTACACAGTCGGAAATTACAAAAGCTCGTAAAGCTTCACTTGTCTTCCCATATCCAAAGATCGTATACATAAATTTGTATTTTCCACCATGTACGAATATTTTAACAATTGTCAATCTTATTTTTAAAGCAAATTGTGCGGCTCAACTAGACGCTAGTTTAAAAGTATGAAAGAAAAGAACCAAAAGGGTTTTTTTCACATATACTTTTTGCAGTGTACCGTAAGAGTGTTGTTTCTTGGATATCAATGTTTCAAGTTCCATATTCTCCAAAAGGTGTACAAGTCTAAAAACAAACTGCATCAGTACGAACATAGATGACGACACCACACACTTAACAGTTGCTAAAACATTTTTGCAGATTTCTGGATCTTTTCAAGGGCATAAAAAATAGCAATACTTAATGCAGCTACATACTAATGTTTAGTTTTAATTGCAAATTGCTTTTCCGGGTTACTGCGACTGGTTGTTTGGTTATTATGGATATCATGGGTATCAAGTAATTAAACCAAAGTATTACAATTTAAAAACTTACATGTTAAAATTCCGTCGAATACAGTGAGAAGCATTGGAATGATATATACAATTTGAAACACTATCTAAATTGTCCAAATTACACAAAGGATCCGCGTGATAACGTCCCACATCGCGCACTGCTTGAGTTAATGTACATGGACATGAAGATGAAATGTCAGTTAGATTTGATCTTTTCTTTTCATCATTTAACCATGCGTTACACCACGATACCGACTTCCCAGAATTCTTCCATCGTACTGGGAAAAAATCGGACCAGATCATAGGAGTTATCCTGCAAAGAAATTACACGTTAAATAGGGTATTAAACCTGGTTCAAAAAAGTAAATGTTCGACAAAAAATACCTTGTTCTCTTGATGTGTTTTTTTATTTACTTTTTTTTACTTCACTGAAGCGCTTCGTATCATGAAAACGATACAGCACATTTCTAAATTAACTGGGAAAAGCATACTTGTATCCCATTAGAAATGCAGAAAGTTTTCTTAACAGAGGTTGATCATACATGTTGTATTTATTCAATAGAATTTTATTCTTCTAGCATTATTGTTTCTCAGACAGTATGTTATCCTAAATCTTAAGCTTCCGAAGATTTCGATACTGAACATAAACATTTTTCAGCATATACCATTAATTTATATAACATAGATGGTATCAATTCAAATTTTCACTTTCAAAGTCTGCTTTTGGTTCGATTTTAGACTGTCTATTGATGGGAGAGTCGATATGGTTTTTTATAACTATTCTGTGTATGTTCCTTTGAAGTTTGTTTTTTGTGATAATTTTTCATATCATGCTGCTCACTTGAGACAAATAATTATCGCTAGAAACTTAAGGTGCAAGTGCCGTTGTCAATGAAAACATCAACGACGTCAAAGATAAAACATCGATTAAAAGAATAGCAATGGTCTTTCAAATTCGGGGATGTTCCTCTGCCACATCTCATCTCGGGGCTGTCGCCCTTCAATGAGATTGTAACTGAGAAACACTCTCGTTTGAAAAAAAAACATCGATAATCTATAGATATGGAATGTTGAATTTCTTAAAGGATGTAGATAGATAACGTGGCGCATCAATTACCATACGTTAATAAAAAAAAATTGAAACAAAAAGTATACTTACAATTGTCCGTATGAGCTTTCATTCCATGAAAGACGTATAATAGCAAGAGAATGATCATTCAAACTCTCGGATAAAACAAATTTGTGTTCACCATTTCTGGCATCGTTTGCATAAATCACATTAGATTGAACTGTATTCAAACTTGGCTTATATTCATTCGACTGTAATAGAATTAATTAAAATGAAAATTAATATATATCATTAGTTTTATATAAAATAATATATGCATAAAAACTGTATTTGTATTGATGTCTGTTATAAAAACTTATCAAACCAACCAGTCTTTTGATTTTAGTAAGCCAAACTCGCGTTTGCTCTGCATAAGACTCCTCGGCGACGTTCGAATAGAAACATTTTGAAGGTAAAATTAATTATGAAGTTGAAGAGCATTGAAAACCAAAAATATAATCCCATAACTATTGAGTTAGGGATCAAACTATGTAGATCACACCATCGTTAGAAATAGTAGTGCGTGTTTCATTACACATTGCCCCAAAATAACATCTTTCTTTAAATACACAAATGATCGATTAGTTTTTGGTTTGTTAAAATCTCCACAGTATTAGTTTTTCAGTCAAAATCAAATTTGTTGAAACTACAATGCACTGAAGTAAGAGAATGAACAATACATATTGTTTTGACAATACAGACATTTGATTTAAGGTTAAACAAAATCGGTATTTTCAATAAGAACGAGTAAAATTCACTCGAAAAGGATTATACTGACCGCAAGCGGAATATACCAAATGTACTATATTTGTCACAATGCACAAACTTGAATATCCATAGTAGGATTCAGCATGACTTGACAATTATTTATTACGTTTTTTATGCTTCTGATCAAAAGGCATGTTTGAAAAATTCATTAACAAATGTACTCGTTTTTTTTAATCTTAACCCCCCCCCCCCTCAAAACTTATAATGATGCTTACATAATATAAAACATCTAACTGTACAGACTGGGACGGAATTAAACTAAAATTCCAAGATAAATTGACACTATCACCAATAATCCAATCATCTGGACTTCGTCGTATTAAATCATTTTTCTTTTTCATTACGTTAGCTGTAAAGAAATAACAAATGCTATGCTGACAAAAAGACAATCATAATGGGTCTTAAGACCATGACGAATAGTAAAAAAGACAATATTGAATAAAATGTATCCATACAACATATATAATTATGATTACAAAATCTCTATACATTTGTTAAGGATTTATTTTTTTTTACTGTTAAAAATCTTTTTATCAAAAAAAGTAAACTTGGATAGATAAAAAGCTAAAATCAAAGATATTCCTATTTTTACAATTCAATCATGTTTTATGATACGTTTTCCCATTTAGGTTATGTAAGGTGTTTGTCCTCTCTCACTGATTTGTATGTTTGTTGCTATTCCAAAAATTCTTCTGTAAGTACCAGTAACCATAACAAGTTTAGTACAGACAGTAGTTACTAGTATGGACCATCCTATCTACGATGCACAATTACTTACTTATCATGTACAAAGCAGAATAGTTCCAACCCTCTTCGTAAGGGTTATATAGAATCGTTATCTCGCCAGTTCTAAACATTGGCGGGAAAACGCATGCAACAGTATCATCAGAGACATGTGTGCACGTGATATTAGTGTTTGTTTCCACAATATAGGCCATAGGTTTATACTCTTGATAAGCACATGGTCCAGTAATGTTAACTTTGTTTCCACCAAGCATGTTTCCATACGACGGTGATAATACGATGTCTTCTGCAACAACAAAAAATCATGCACATTAAATTTTCATTGATTTGATAGGTTGGAATTAATCACATAAATTAATTCATCCTAGTTATAATTTATTTAGAACGACATATTTCGTTGTAAGAACGTCCTCGAATAAAATATTTTGGCTGGCAGATAATCCAGTACTTTTTAGAAGCTTTCTCAATACTGTACGTAGCTGTTTTGTACTGGTAAATTACAACTACTGAACAATCTGAACATAGACTTAACATATTAATCGACTGCAGGCAAATACTAATAGTCTGAACAGTATGGCATTTATTGCATTGGAATTGTCCGAAAATTGAACACGACTTGATATTTCATTGCTCAGACTTTCAAGAGCTGTTCAGATCAAAATGACCGTTTCAGTTTAAAATTAGTTTACATGTGTGTTTAATACATTCACAAAATTGTATGAATCGATTGTTGATTGTTATTTAAGTCACATCAATTCATTCAAAGAAATAAACAAAAGAAAGGTCAAATGCATCTATAAAAGGAATATTTTATTTGCTGACTTTGGCAGTTATATAGAATGCACTTACCAACATTATTACATTTTTTATCGTCTATGTCGTCGTCAACTTGGAATACCCACTTCCCTTGTATACCAACATTACTTGTTAAAGTAAGGTTAATAACAGCGTCGGTCTGGGCACCTTCTATTGAGTAATAGTTTTTCTGATCCCCAGCATTGAATCCAGCCTACAATGTAAAAGAAAAATTTAGAGGAGTATCTAAAGATCTGAAAAAAGTAGTGTTACTTTAGAATTATGATGCTGTAAGCTTTATGCCCCTAAAATTTATTTCAAAAACAAATGTAATTTTTCAGAAACATCGAATCTACTAGTTGCTTATAGGTTTTTTTATAGGGGATGTAGGTATTTTTTCTTTGTTTCTACATGCAAGGATGTCTTTTTGGATGTTATATTGTGTACATAATACGTGTATAGATTATTACAATGTTCTGTAGACATAATAATTGTAATACTGATATCAAGTCCCTTACCGTATGACTCAATATGGTGTATTCATTATTAAATATGTAAATTTTTATAAACATGGTTTTCCTTAAATAGAAGTGACGTAAACATTCAGCATTGTCGGAAATTTGTAAACTTTTGCGTCCTATTTATGAGTTTGTCCATTTTAAAATGAAAGCAAATATGCTTTAACAGCATCTTTATTGTTTTAATATTGTTACTTGCTTTTTTTAAACAGTGAAAATTAGATATCTAGAAATAAATTTAATCTTATTCATGATAAGCGCAACATCTAATATCTTGGTAAATTGAAACGACGAAAGACGAAATATAAAATTGTCATAGTCAAGTATTTTATTACAAGTCAAAGGAGTTCTTAAAGTTAATAATCATGTTAATAGGACAAAGTTCAATTACATTTATACATATCATTATATGTATGTCAAAAGAAAGTTTTACCAAAGTGAAACCGTATATTCAAATAAAAAATGGTTTGCACAGAACAAATTCTGGCACGAATTACAGCTACGTGTACTGAACACACAATACAATAAAAAATGGAGTGACCCTTTGACAATGATTCCATAACGAATTGTAGAATTGTATTCTGCCCATATATACTATCGTTTGTTTTTAAACATAATCAACCTTCATGTAAGCAAATACCTATATTTTAAAAGCAAATTGAGAAAGACAGCAGAACACATTCTATAGTAACTTTGTGAAATTCCCGCTTATAATTCTTTTTCCCGCCTTTACACAAAACAATAACATATGACTACTTTTACCTTTCGATACTCTCAACTATAGAAATGAATTGTTACATAAGAAGGGTGTTGTATTTACCCTCCTTGGAGCTTTTGTTCGGGCCTAATTTGTTCCGAACAGATAAATTATAATTCACCAGGCTAGGAGGTAAGATGTCCCGTGATAATGACGTAATGACTTGCACAAACTAGTAAGGGCGTTGGCACAAGTTTTATTTGCATAGTAAAGAGCATTTGAACAAATACTTGTATTGTTCCTGTATTTTACGTTGTATTTGAAAGAGTTTGATAAACAAGAAGACTGCAAAAAAATTTCATTATTATGTATGAATATGTCCTAAGTGATATATTATTATGTGACAAGAGCATTGTTGTTAACTTTTGTTGATTGCCAATTGAGATGGAAGAGTGTTAATTTTGAAACGCCCTTTCTGTTTTATACACTCTATTCATTAACACTTTCTAAAATATCTTTAAATTTATTTTTTATTTTCCCTTTCATGAAAATTCAGGAATGAAATTTATAACCTGTTTTTTTCTGTCAAAGACCGAAAAAATTTGCATATTTGTTTCGGAATTTGCTATGTGATTACATTTTTCAATGTTTGATTTCTTTTAGTTTCATTGTATACTTGTATATATTAACATGATTAATAAAATAAGAATCGATACACGATAAAAAATTAAATAATGAAAAAAATAGCTAGACAAAAGAACAGCTGTATTGTTGCATGCACTATATTGTTGCAAGGATGCAGTAAGGGCGGACAACTTTTATAAACTTGACCCTGTGCTTATATCCGTTCTGTGTGGTCTACTTAAAAATACATAGGATTTATTCAGCCTAAAAGTTTTGCATTACCTCATATTAAAAATCAATGATGTATTATAAATCATCGGTATTTATTTTTAATACGAGTTGCTAACGAAACTTATCGTTCAAAGAAAAATCAAGGGACATTGAATATAAAAATAAGGAAATGTGGTACGATTGCCGATGAGAAATCTACCATTCGAAGTTCAAATGAAGTGGATGTAAGTAATTATAGGCCATGGTATGGCCTTCAACAATGAGGAAACCCCATTACATATAGTCGGCTATAAAAGCCCCCCCCCCCCCCCCCCCCCCCCCCGCCGACATGAAAAATGTGAAACAATTCAAACGAGAAAAATGACGGATTTGTATATTTAAAAAAAAACCAAATATTTCGGACATGAACCTTCGACAACCACTGAACTACAGGCGCTTGACTTGGGACAGGCACATAAACAATGTGGCGGAATAAAACATGTTTGTGAGCACTAAATCCTTCCCCAAACACGAGACAGTGGTGTAACAGCACAACATAAGAAAAAACTGTAAAAAATCTGTTCTTTTTATAATGCTGAACAGAATTATAAATGATGGTTTCTTTTATCATTCTTACAGGACCAAATGGTTAAATGTGGTAGTTACTGAACAAAATCATTTGTTTTCCAAATTATATTCAGCCTTTGAAATAACTCTTCACTAATATTTGTATTTGAATTAAAAAAAAAACGGAGCTATGGCATTATATCTGCCAAAAGGGAGGCAAACTTTTATTTTTAAATTTTCATCTGTAAGAAATAAATGTTAACTTATTAAAGTTGTCTCATTTACCATAAACAAGATAAATGAGACAAACTAAATATATGTATGTTTCCTGCCTCCCGGCCAATTCAAGGTTTGATCGCTGACCCCCAAAGGTTGTGTTACCTTTCTAAAAAAAATATTCCAAGAAGCAGCGCTTAATATTATCACTTTTAAAGAGGATCCAAACCGACCGACCCTACTTATGGCTGGAGAGAGGACACAGACATATATTTTGATGGCCTAAAAATGATCGTGGCATACACTAAAAACAGAAACTTCTTGCGTCTTTTTCAAGTATGATCATAGTGTAAAACCTTACCTGAGCAGGCTGTCCTCCTAATCCTGTCAAAGTATTACCTCCACTGTTAGAACCCGTGGTCCACTGTATTTTGTTGTAGTTAAATATCACGAAAGAGTGTATATCGTCAGCTACCAATACAGCTTGAAACGTATTGCGCTAAAAATAAAAAAGATGAATAAAATAATTCCGTCGAAGCTTTAGTTATGAAAGCAAGTGGCTCATATTTTGAACTCCTCTCGTCAGGCAAAATAAAACCAAAAACACCTTGTGCTAAATGGAGTGTCCATTGGACTGTGCAAGATACATAAGAGTTCAATCTCACCCGATGTAATGGAAACGTTAATGCGGATTCCTCGTGTATGGAGAGTGCCACGCTCTCTGAACGTTAAAGAACCTTTGCAACAACTCTGCGAGTGGTCCGTCCGGTTATGGCCTGATGCAAGCACAAAATTTCTACCCCAATCCATCATACCGTCATTTTCAAGTGAAAGTCCACATTTTACGCTGTTTATTCCTGTCGACCTACCTTGCAAAGCCTATCAATTGTAAAGCTAATTTGTTCTCGTCCTTCAATTGCATGAAACACTTGTTACTGGACTTTAAAAGGGCACATCTAAACAATCAATGAATTAATGAAAACATTTAGAACTTTTAAAAAGAATGCATGCATACGTGTAGTCGACCATTTTTCAATTAGAATACATGTCATGATTTGTTACTGTGATAATTAAAAATTGGCATTACTTTTTAATTACATTCTATTGAGAGGGAGACAGTGTTTGTATAACAATATTAATTTATTATGTGTTTCTAAAGTCAAAACTTCTGGTCTTCTCCAAAATTCAACCATATATAGCCGCTTATTGTTATTTATAATAACTTTGAAGAAATGTTGTTATCAAATGAAAATCTTCGAGCACTTTTTCTGATAGGTTCATCAGTCATCACATTAGTTTAATATGTACCATCTAATAAATAAAACTATTACGGTGTGTTAGTGTTATTTATTTAATTATTTAATCATGTTAATGACTATAATATAACTATACAATTATTGATTGGTATGAGATTCATATCAGCCATAAGACGGTTTAATCGGTATGTAAAATACCCCGACGTTGAACTACTGAACAATACAGTGTCAATACAGCTAACCTCGAATCTATACATCTTTAAGAACCAAAACAGAAACAGTCACTTAATAACACAACTTAGATTTTTTTTTTTTTGAAAATATGACGGATTAATTTATTTGATATATGATTAAGTAGGTGAACTGCATGAAATCATCTTATACTTTTTAAATGAAATGTACATTCACCATGGTCGTTTTTCATATTTTGATAAATTTTAAAACATGACAATCCGTTATCTTTTAAAATAATGATATGCTTTTTATTCAGTTGATATTCGGATGATGAAACAATATTTCAAAGAAACGTTTTTAAACTTTTGAACTCAGCGACATAATTTACATTCTTAACAAGAAGCTAATATTTGAGTTTTTGAACTATGTTTAATTTTTTCAGGTAAAATAAATGACATTTCTGTTAAAAATGTACATAAAATATTAATAAATATTTCATAGTACTTAAACTGTAAAGAAATGTTATCATGACTCCGTCATCATGGTCATGTACTTTTGCATTATTAACGAGTTCTAAAGTTTTATTCACCTATAGCTAAAATATGATGTATAGTTTGTTTTTTAATAAATAATCTCTAAACCCGGTGTGTTTATACTTTCAAATATAATTTGTTTTCTGATATCGCGTGTCTAACTAACCACTAATACCATAAACATTCTACATTCCAATGAATTGTTTTTTTAAAAGCAACGTACGGTTGTAAAACATGACGTAAAACTTTGAATCTCCAAATATTTAAGCTGATTTTTTTTTTCAATCACAGTTTTCAAAACTAACTATACCTCCAAGGCATTTTAGATGTGCAATGTTTACATCTTGATAGAAAATTAATAATAATCCAAAAAACAACAACAATTGTCTTTTGCTTCATATATATAAATAAAACGAGATATGGGTCATATAAGTCAATGAGCATTATGAGAGAGCAGCCCAACGACACAACACCAAAAGATATCTAGTGGTCAACATGTGGTTTTCACAATAAACAATTGTCCATAAAATATGCTAAGCACTAACTTGCCCTACGTCTGAAAGTGTGAATAAATCTTACAGAGTTTAGGAAAACTCAGCCATCGCATTTTTACGGGTATTTGTATCCCGTTTATGCAATTCAATAAAATTAAGAACCGAAAAATCGTATCAATTTACATGTTAGAATACATGTAGAATTCTGTTGTATACTCTCTCGACTTCATACTCGCAAAATATTTTATAAATATAATCTTTTTAATTGGCATCATTTAAACCAGATAGATTGTTTTAATTAAAGTTAACTTTACCACAAAAAAGTGAAAGAACTATATACATATACAGAGGTTTACAATTAATAATTTGGTGTTTCGTGAAATACTATAATTTAACTTTTTGGTTATTTTGCTTATGATGAAGGAATAACAAATTATTTACCATTCACGAATATCTTATGAAAACTGACTTACTCTATCTCTGCCCTGGCGTGAAGCACCGTAATATCCTACATTTTCCCACGTCACGATGAACATCCACTTAGCTGTAAATGAACGTTGTTCTCGGAAGTAGCTTCTTAATTCTTCTGTTGCTTTGTCAAGAAAAGCTTGTTCAAACGTTTCTCTGAACCAGACGGTTCCGCCAATGTGTTCAGTGTCTACATCCGCCCAAAATGGAGCAATGATAGATCGGTTTTCTTTGGACGGAAAAGGTTGTGGTTTGTATGTTTCCAACTTGTTTTTAAAAGTAAGTATCCCGTTATTGTTCACCTGAAAATACAAAATGAGATGTTCTAAGCTTGTTTTTAAAATACACAAGGAAAGATCATGGGAGGTGGGGGGTTAATTCAAAACATAGTCTTGAAAGTTTGCATATTTGACCATTCTTCCTGTGCGACATAATTCTGTTCTAATCAGCACTAGATCTGGTATTTGCTTTTAAATACCTTTACATTCCACAGCCTCACCAAGTCGACAAAAAAGGGCAGTCATAATTAAGAACAATCTCGGACTAAGCTAATACCTATTGAAAGAATTAAATTTTTCATAAGTGTATTTACATACAAACTGACTTTTATTATATCAGCCTTATCTTATTTTAGTTATGAGTCTAGGTATTGGATGCGAATTTATTAGGCCTTTCCACGTTTCCGTTCTGATATTGTTCTGGTTTTATTTTTTATTTTTCTTCCACCACTTTTCTGAAATGTCGCTTTGTTTCCCAACATGTAAATATTTGATGTAAGATTTTGAACAGTTATTGCGGTTTTGAAACTCAAGTATTTTTAACCGAACACTTTTGCATATGGGAGTTATCTCCGTGTATACAGTTGTTGTTTTTGTCATGTTATCGCTTCACCTCAGATACTTTAAAAGATACCGTTTAAAGTTTTTATATTGCAAAATGTTCGTTACTTTCTCAGGATTATCTGATCAATATGTGATCCAGTTACCTATATTAACAGTCATTTCCTTTTTTTTTTTACATACATGTACATGGTATGTCGGTGTAAATCATAAACCTAAAGTCATAAGAGTCTTTTGGAATGAGATTCGTGGACAAGTAGCAGACAATTGAGTTCCAAGTCAAAGGTCAAGAGCATACGATAAATTTTGAACTTTTTTTGTTATCTATAAGTTATCGAAATATTTTTTTGGTCAGATTGTAAGTTACGACCTCACGCAACGCCAATACATTTGGGTCCAAGTACTCTGGTGACTTTCTAAGAGTGTTGTCCCCTCAAATATTCAAAATAACCTGTTTGGTATGATAACTTTTTAATTATGCATTTATTTGAAGAAAAAAAAAACAAGTTATATATTTTGGGAATCTGTGCAAGATGTTATTTTCTGGCACCATTTTTAACGAAAAATACTTCTTTTTGTAATTAAACAAGCATTCTGAGAGTATTGCTATTACATAGTCCCCTACCGGTTAAAAATTCATTGTACTGGAACAAAATGCTAATTTGATCTATAACTTTTCATGGTGTAAACAATATAACAAATATCAAGTCAATATCTTCAAGCATGACGAAAAAAGTGTGGAAAACTGATTATTTGAGTGAATTTTTAAAGTCCAAGGACCATAACTCTGCATAAAATCATCAGACCGGACCAAAATCTGAACTTGATCTGTAACTTGTCATTATAAAACAATATACCAATTATCAAATCAATATCTTCAAGCATGACGAAAAAAGTGTGGAAAACTGATTATTTGAGTGAATTTTCAAAGTCCAAGGACCATAACTCTGCATAAAATCATCAGACCGGACCAAAATCTGAACTTGATCTGTAACTTGTCATTATAAAACAATATACCAATTATCAAATCAATATCTTCAAGCATGACGAAAAAAAGTGTGGAAAACTGTTTATTTGAGTGGATTTTATAAGTCCAAGGACCATAACTCAGCACAAAATCATCAGACCGGAACAAAATTCGAACTTGATCTGTAACTTGTCATGATAAAACAATATACCAAATATCAAATCAATATCTTCAAGCACGAAGAAAAAAAGTGTGGAAAACTGATTTGCCGCACTGACGGATGGACAGACAGATAGAGTGCAAACCTATGGTCACCTTCGACTTCGTCGGTAGGGAATTAAAAAACAGGTTCTAGCATATCTGTATAAAAGTTCGTTTAAAATGTTTAAACCTTTATATTTATTATATCAAAATGTGGATGGAAAGGCTTTAAATCGTTCTCTAAACAAGTGATTTTTAATTCTGCATTGTATTGGTTCCATATCTAGTTATAAGAACGGAGGTAGGAAGGTGCATATAGATACGTGTGAATATGATCGATATGAATGAAAAACACCATTATTATTTAAACAGCAAACTATAATATCCTATAAATACCAAAAAACGAGTATACAGTATGACATATTTCTGTTGTTCCCCGTTTTTTTTATTACTCCAAATGCATGTGAATCATGAAAAGGTAAACAAGGTTATCACTAATAAAGACATACTTTTTTCAATTTGAAATTTAAACATGTTAAAATACAAAAAGTAAATACCGTTATCTTTATTATAAGCCGGATATTCTTTAACAAAACGTAGCAAAGCATTTAAAGACCTTGACCACATCCACATGGACAATTCATTTCAATTCTTCACGGAAACAGTCTATCAATTTATATCACAGTGTTTGTTTACCCTTAGGTGAACCAAATAAGGTAATCCCTTAAATCAAACATATAAGGAACACGTGTCATGTACCGCCTGTATTTATTGCTATTTTATGGTCTACTCCTAGTGTAATACACATGATATTTAACACTGCTTTGGTCATGTTGGTCAGAAAGTGGTACATTCAAGAAATTCCACACCAGTTCATATGTATACTTCGTCTAAATGTTTAATCTAACTGAAATAGCCCTAATTCTCAAATTGGTCTTTCTTTTGGATATAGCTCTAATTGTTGAATCCTTCAGGATATAAAGATGTATTTCTTTAACTTTCTGTGGTACCATAATTAAATGCAAAATTGAAAGCTTAACAAGTAAACCAAAATTAGCAAAACATTATTTAGGATGACAAATTAAACCAAATCTTTATCACATAAGTTCGTCTTGTTTGGTCTTTTACAACTCATTCCTTTTTGGGGGCTAGGATGAAATTTGAAAAAAATAGGCAGGACAGGAGTTTTGAGTATAAAAAAAAGGCAGGATGAGATTTTTTGCAAAAAAAAAGGCAGGATGATAAATTTATGTAAAAAAAAAAAGTCAGGATAAACTAAAAAAATAGTCAGGACCGAATAGAGTGAAAAATAAAAAGGCAGGACCGAATAGAGGGTAAAAATAAAAAGGCAGGACAAAATTTTTCATCCTAGCCCCCCCATAAAAATCAAATGGTAGCTTCCTAACTTTTATGGTCTCCTACACTGTTATTGTACGTTTAAATTCATATTTACTTATCATGATTTTTTTTATTTAATTTGTATTGAATAAAAGACCCTTTAAAATATAAACGATTAATAGCTGTATTTTATGCCGTTATAAAAGACGTGTTTGTAAATAATTTATAAATTATATATTTTTAATGTGTTTTATTGTAAATTTAGTGTATCGTAAGTCTATATAGGCTGGGAATTGATCTTTTATTTTATTTTAACTGTTTTGTGTATTTTGATAAAATAATCATTATCATTATCATTATCAATATCATTATCATTATCATTATGTATATTTAATCAAAACAATGAATTCAAAACTTAGTGCACATCTTATTTCACTTAGGAACTACATGTATAAATGCATAAGTGTTTATGTGTATACTATAATAATATTTTATTTGAATTCAATTTTTAAAGGAACGGATAATACATGTATATGACACACAGAACATTTACACAATTTGATAAATATGATAGACGGAAAGCTTTGGAACGTGTTCATTCTTAATTTCATTCATTATGCGAGCGCTTTGTTCATCTATAAATAATTCATTTAGAATACTTCAAGCTGTTAATTTTTCTATCATGTTTCAATTGAATAATTTTTGATAGTGCAATTTATAGATGAGGTCATCAGTTTACGAGATAGACCTCTTAACACATTTTGGGTATTTTAACCAGGCGCGTAGCTACGTTAACGTCAAAACGCCCGGGCGTACACATGAATTTTGGAGAAAAAATATTTTAATCTAAATAAATTAAAAGATCTGGCTAAAAACACATGAGCCTTGTAGTTCTTTCTACACTTACTTGTAATTGAAGATAACAGTCGGACGAAATTTACTTTTTAATCAAATGGAATCATATTATTTATTTGTTCGTTTTCTGTGAATATCTGAATCTACTGTGAATTATCCTCCCTTTCCTATAGTTTAAAGTTAACCTCATGCTGAGATACGATATGCGGTTTTGTCGAGCCTGCGAGACATAGCGATCCTAGATTCCGTAATCGGCGTTGGCGTCGTCAATATTTATGTCCAGCCTGTGGTTAAAGGAGAAGGTCCAGTAAGGGTTTATTTTGGCCTAAAATTTGAAGTACATCGGATGCATTATTTTTTACATTTTCTAAACACTGAAGTGTTTTCTTCAGTCGATTGAATTAATTTATGTACTAAGAGATTTGGACTGATTTGGTCACTAAAGACGCCTAAATTCAAGCTTTAATATGAAAAATCTATCAGTGTAATGCCAAAAACAGCCCATATGTATATAACAAAAGTATTCTTCTTTCAAATAAATAGCTAAAAGTTTACATTTTTAACAAATTTTTGAAATGCTATATTCTGGGGCCAAAAAGGGGTCTTACCGGGCCTACTCCTTTTTTTAAAACATCAATAAATTTGTCAAACCTTCATGAAATTTTACAGAATATAGGCAGAAACTTTTTTATGATCAAAAGAGTATACAGAGCATAATTATAAAGATTTACTTTAATTTTTTCCGCATTTTACTGAAAAGAACATTGTTTTTATTAGTTAACAAGTATAGATACCGTTTTTTACGCATGAATTACTTTGTCAAAACTTCATCGAATTTTATGTAAAAATGGTAACACCAACTCTACCATTTTTTTTTGCACCACATGCGCATTTCGACAATTAATGTCTCATCAGTGATGCTCGAGGTCGAAATATTTGAAAATCCAAAACCTAATAAAAACATTTGAAGAGCTGATCAAAATAAAACGTACCTAAAGTATAGCCAATTCCGGACAAAGAATCAGAGCTTTGGTGGGGGAGATATATTCCTTTATTTTTAAATGATTTCAAGACTTTTATAACAGTCAGCAAATTTCAGTCT